CCCTGTGCGCGCCGCCGCACCGCCCGAGCGCGCCGGCCCCGTCCCGCCTCGCGGCACACGGTTGCTCTATGTCTCACTGATTTGTGGGCCTGAGAGAAGGCACAGACGGACAAGAGTGGACGAGAGGGACGAAAAGAGCGTCCGTTTTTTATCTGTTCGGGAGCATTCGTGGCTCAAGTTTGACCTGAATTTAGGATCGAGCCGGACAAAAGCGGACGCGAACGGACGTGGTTGTCCGTTTGGGTACGCCTGTTGGGGGCATGTTTTACCCCATACGGACAAAAGCGGACCAGATGGGTCACGCAGTGGAGTTGGCCTTGCGCTATTCACTCGTCGTTTTCCGAAGTTTCCCGGTCCATCGTTCGTCTGCATTCTGGTACTACGGTCCACGGAGCACAATGGGCTGAGCTGAGCATGCCCTGTCACCGGCCTCAGCTCCCATCCTTCAGCACCCACCCACCTCGGCACCGGCCACCGGGCCACAGCTTCCACGTGCAACCTCCTGCCCCACGCGCCATCCTTCAACCAGCTGCAATCAATCAATCAGTCGCCCGACACGGACACCAGTGAGTCGTGCCCGTCTTCTCCTACCTCCAAACTCCTCGCGCTCCTCGCTGCACACACACACACACTTATCTTTCCAGCTCACACTTTCTCCCTCTTTGCTTCGCTCGCTGCTTCTTCTCTTGTTTCCTTTTCTCCTCTCCATCCAACTCCCACTCTGCCACCTATAAATTCCAGCCACCACCATTGAATTGAGTCGATCGCGTAGAATTCTTGCAGCTGATCGCTCCGGAAGCTCGCATCGTACGAGATAGTGTGTGTGCCTAGATAATCACGTGCATATACATGGCCGTGTGGCTGGCGCGCCGGGCCGTCAGGAGGCTCGCTAGCGAGCTGCGCAGCCATGGACCATGGCCGTGGCCCTTGAGCTCGTCGACGGTGCCGGTTCTCGGGGTGCCATCAGGGGACCAAAGCAGGGGGTTCTGCTCCGTCCGGCGCTTCGCAGGAGATAGCGCTGCCGTCGAGGAGCCGGAGAATGGACTTGCCGCAGGCGATCTGCAGGTATCTGTGCACTCGTATGTTGTGGTACATACAGTAGGACGGCCGCTTCTAGACATGTGTGTTCTACAGAATTGTCTAGTAGTGGTACGTAGTACCATGAATATTTAGGATGCTCTGGTTTTGAAGATTACATTATATTTTCCGCAAAAAAAAATTACATTATATCTATATATATATGCAACAGGGAAGGTAAGCAGATAACAACCATTCAGGATGCTGCGCCTACGATCATGTGATCTTTCTCCTTGATTAAAGAAAATTTAGTGTGGATATCATCGTGATTCTCACTTGGAAAGAGCATCCTGTATACACGTGATTACTATATATGCTTCTAATATTCCTAAGAAACAAGACAACTTTAACACATGACAATTGTGGATAGAATTGACAACAAGTAGTAAAGTAAGCAGATAAGGAAGGACGTGTCATTGAGTCAATAGGCTGGTGGGACTTCACTTCAGGTTTAGTAAGCTCACACGGCTTCTTTTCTCTTGCGTGTTTTATTTATTTATAATTCCTGTGATGCCATGGTCAATCGTTGTCAACGAATAAAATAGTCCATTGCCTTGCCTCCAAGGTCAGTTAGACTAACCCGGTTGTGCTTCCAAATTTATTTCGAGGAGATTCTATACATTCATTCTTCTAGGGCCACCAAACTTAATTTTGATTGTTACCGACGCAGTTTGTAGATTTCCCTGGAGGAAAGCTTTCCTTTGTTGGTGAAATGAATTTCCTGCCAGAGTCGCAAAGGGAAAGGATCAATTGTTACCGTATTCTTGACGACGATGGTGGGACTATATACAGCAGTAGATTCCAAGAGGTGTAGTACAGCCATTGCCATTGCCATTGCTCCACGAGTGAATAATTTTGTTCTGAAGCATGTCTCTCATTCTTGTCAGGTCAGTAAGGAGTTGGCTCTGAAAATGTACAGTAACATGGTCACCCTCCAGATTATGGACACAATCTTCTATGAAGCTCAGAGGCAGGGAAGAATTTCCTTCTATCTAACTTCCAATGGTGAAGAAGCAATCAACATAGCCTCTGCTGCTGCGCTTAGTGCTCAAGACATTGTACTACCTCAGGTGCATATCATCTGCTCCAAAAAAGAATGTTAGTGCTGAATAGTATTGATTTTACTTACTTTTCTTTTCTTGGCCGGAAATTTTGGAGCCAAATGAAGTACAGGGAGCCCGGTGTTCTTCTATGGCGTGGCTTCACACTGCAAGAATTTGCAAACCAGTTGTTTGGGAACAAGCTGGATTACGGTAAAGGCAGGCAGATGCCGATACATTACGGATCAAACCGTCTGAATTATTTCACAGTCTCATCGCCTATCGCGTAAGTATGAAATACTTCCTCCTTCCTTTCTGAAAAAAGAAAAGAAAAAAGAAAAATGTTGTGCAAGTGAAGCAGAGATTTATCCTTGTTGGCAATTGATCAGCACTCAGCTCCCTCAAGCTGTTGGCGCTGCCTATTCTCTCAAGATGGACAAGAAGAAGGCATGTGCCATCACGTATTTCGGCGATGGTGGCACGAGCGAGGTAGATGAACAATCATTGATTGCTTACTTACAACTTGTAACCAGATCTCTCTGACAGCTGAAAAACGTCAGGGAGACTTCCATGCCGCGCTCAACTTCGCTGCTGTCACGGAAGCGCCAGTGATCTTCTTCTGCCGCAACAATGGCTGGGCAATCAGCACCCCAACCGCGGAACAGTTCAGAAGTATGAATTGTGCCTCTGCTCAATCATACAAGGGAATATTGGCAACGGCACTGTATAAAACCCAACTACTATTTGCAGGTGATGGAGTTGTCACCCGCGGTCAGGCCTACGGAATACGCAGTATCAGGGTAGACGGCAACGATACTCTTGCTGTGTACAGTGCAGTCCACACCGCCCGGGAAATGGCTATAACTGAAGGAAGGCCTATTTTAATCGAGGTGCACAACAGTAAAATTTCAGAATATGCCATTTGCTGAGAGTACTTTACCGAGTAGAAAACTTCCAGGCGATGACCTACCGAGTCGGCCATCACTCGACATCCGACGATTCAACCAAGTACAGGCCGGCCGATGAGATGGAGCATTGGCGAACAGCGAGGGATCCCGTCTCCAGGTACAGAAAATGGGTTCAGGGGAATGGATGGTGGTGCGACACTCAAGAGTCTGAACTCAGGAACAATGTGCGGCAAGAGGTAATGTAATGTAATATTGGTAATGCATTTATTTTTTCATACATGACCAACTGAAACTGTTAGCTCATTTCTGTGCAGCTCCTGCAAGCCATTCAGGTGGCCGAGAGGATGCCAAAACACGGGCTTGCGGAGCTCTTCACTGATGTGTATGATCAAATGCCTTCCAACCTTCGCGAGCAAGAGCGGTCGCTGCTGGATACCATCAAAAAGCATCCTGCAGAGTATCCAGCTGATGTGCCTGCTTAGTCCTATTATTAGCCTTAGCTCTGCAATGTTGAGTCTGCAAGTACTCATGAATGATGATTTAGCTGGTACTGTAAGAGTTAATATTGATTAAGCTTGAATAGTATGTAATTTAAGAAGGGGGAATAAACTGCCCATCAAAAACCTCTGAAAGAAATAATAGAAGAGATTGGCTGTTACTCACACAAGAATAGTTGTTGCTGATATTTATGTTGAACAAAGCTATGCTAAGATATTTATAACTGCAGGCAAATGCCTTTTTTATTTAAGACATGGCTGTCACCACTCCTTAGATGCACAAATGTGATACAGCAAGGATTGCATTTGTCCCAACAAAAAGGTCATTTACACATAAACAGTGTGAATAAGGTGTGGCATTGCGATCATTGTTTTGGATCAATCCAACTACAACAGGGAAGGTTCAAACCAAAAAGGCTTCTACAATAAGGCCTGGCTTTTCTCCTTGATGGCCTCTTGGACAGACTTCAGCAGTGATGGCATCAACTGCTTATTTGTGGCAATGATGCCTGTGTCAACATCAAGAAATCTCCCTTTCGAGAAATCAGAGTGAATAGCATAAAACTACCACAATTCGTGTTATGGTTGCAAAAAACTACTGAAATTTTGTTTGTGACTGGTAACTACCACTTTTGACGTCGTCTGTTTCAAAAAACCCAAAACACCTGCTGTTAACATTTTAATCCGTTTTTTGTCGAAGCCGCATATAAACGGACCGTCAGTTTGACCTCTTGTTTGACCGTTAGTTGACATATGGAGCCCACATGTCAGTGTTTCTTCCTCACAGAAAAAACAATTGGGTCCCTGTAAATGTTTCAAAAACGCAATCGGGTCCCTCTCATGGCCATGCGCCTGCAGCCATGCTCGCCGGCCAGCAGCCGCCGTGAGGAGCTCGCCGGTAGCAGCCATGGCGCCGCCGCGGAGCTCCCTTCTGTTGCCGTCGTCCAGTATGCGCAGGGTGCAGGTGGACGGCTCCGTCGCCCTGCTGGACGCCGCAATGGACGGCCACATCCAGGGAGGCCTCCTGCCGGAGTTAGCCTCCCGTGCCACCCGCGGCCGCGACCCACGTCCGTCTGGACCCTGCATGAGCGGTGGCTGCTGGGGTTCGCTGGCAATGCGGGGCAGCACCTCTGGCCGGTGGCGCCATGGCTCTAGGCCGTAGAGGGAGGCGTGTCGGGCTGCATGCTAGAGGGAGGAGAAGAGTGTCTGAGGAGAGGAGGCAGTAGTGGAGGCGGAGGAGCTGTGGCCGACGCCGGCGAGGTGGAAGAAGGAGTGGCTGCCGCTGGTGAAAGGAGAGGCGGCCGTCGCTCCGTTGCCCTACTGGACGCCATCGTCCGTAAGAGCGCTGTTGTGCGGGTGGATGCGGTCGTGCGCGTGGCCAGCAGTGTGGCCGGCGGCTATGGCCGCGCCACTGTCTCCGGTGATCTTCGGGTTCTTTCACCGGTGGGGATTTGAGCTAGTAGACGTCGAAGGAGAAGGAAGGCAGAGAGGAGCGAAGGAAATGAGGAATAGCCTGACATGTGGGAATGATATGTCAACTAACGGTCAAACAAGCGGTCAAACTGACGGCTCATTTAGGTACGAACCCGACGTCATAAATCAGTTTAATTTCTTAGCAACGGGCGTTTTGAGTTTTTTGAAACAGCCGACATAAAAAATGATAGTTATCAGTCGCAAACAAATTTTCGGCAGTTTTTTGGAATCATAACACGAATTATGGTAATTTTATGCTATTCACTCTCAAACAAACCCGTACTCTTGTTCCGTCCATAAGTGAACTATCCATGCATGCTCAGATGAGCAACTCTGCTTGCACGTCCTACGAACCCGGGCGAGAGGCCATGGGGCCTTTTCCGGAGGTGAAGACGGATGACATCACGGCAACCTTTGGTCGTTTGGGAGCGGACGAAGCATGAACGACATACTGCTTTCTTGACAATGTCTTCTCTTTGCCTTGATCATGGGTTCGATGAGGGCATCGATGCTCAAGCTGGTGCTCGGTAGAAAAGTCAAATGGAGGTGCTTGCAATCGTTAGAGCATCTCCAACAGCCGCGCTATACTAGCGCCGCACCGCAAATTAGACCGTTTTAGCGCGCGCAACGTTGCGGGTCGCTTCAGCGGGCGCGCAAAAACGGCGCGCACGCTATAACGAGTTGGGCGCGCGGTAGTAAACACTATCCCACACGGTGTATTTCGGGCGCCTGCTACAGCGCGCGGCACACTCGACTGCTCGCGCCGCACTCTCTCCTCTCCTCCTCCTACGCCCTGCGCGCGCCGGCGCTGGTGCCCTGCCACCCATGGACACGCACACC